TCAATCAATGGATTTCTTCTTCTAGGAATTTTCATTCAGAGATGAATCAAAAATCGGCGGGAACTTCTCCAACAACCCAATACATACCGGAGCTTATAAGGCACTGCTATACAATTATGCATTTCGGTATTTCGGTCAACCAAAGTAAAAAAAATACAGAAGCTTCAATTCGTTGTGGACGCGCGATATGTACTATACTTAGGCTTTTCTCAACCAGTAATCATAAACCTATCATTGGAAGTTGCACTGCTCATGTTTTAGCAATAATTATGCGATGAAGGGTACCTTATCATCGACGCTCAAACCTCCCAATAAGTTAGCCAGATGTTCGACCCAGTCAATGGCAGCAATGAGACGGCGATAGGCAACCGAAGAAAGTTCATCATTCTTCGCCAGCCGGAACGGCTCATAACGCATCTGTAATCAGCTGCCATGAAATGTGTTCGACATGCTCGAAAGTACACCCTTCATTATTGGAATATTTGAGTCCGATAAAATTCAGAGCCCAAAATAAGTTTAGTTCAAATTAATAAACCTATACAGGCTCGAGGATTAGAAAGGGAGAAGCACATTTGGGAAACACCTGGTTACATCAAGGAGTGCGTTTTAGGAAGCCCTTCACCCTTTAGCTTCCCGATGAAATTGTAGTGGCATTTTAAATGTGTACGTGGCCGACAAATGCCTACCGATGTACAAGCGAGTGCTTCTGCCCTCCGGGTGGGTCTGGAGCCAGTAAAAACGCTCCAGATTTATGAGATGGAAAGCTTGGTTGGTCTGAGCGAATATCGGATGAGAGATTCAACCCCTGACCATCGGTGTGATAGTGTACCACTTGTCACTATACCACACCACCCCCGTGGATGTGCCCACAGAATTACAGACGGAAATTTATAGCTACGGCCCCAACTCTAGAGTCAAGACGGAAGGAAGAAAATAAAAGAAAGGAGAAGAAAGGCAACTTGGAGTTGAAAGGAAAAAAGTAAGGCGGTCACATACATACCACAACCATCCGATGAATTACAGTGATGCAAAAGATCGGCAACTATTTACACGGATTTTTTCCATCAATTTCAAAATAGTCCTGACCTCTGATCGTTTACCTTTCAGCTTGCTTGGATCGTCGATTATTTCTCGTAAAGTATTCACTCGAAGCGGGTACAAGTGTGACGCATCCATGTTCGTGTCTCCCTGTAAACAGAGAAAATAAGACAAATCAACAAAGTGAAATAAATAAACCAAACAACAATTATATCAGAAAACAATTCAAAATTACAAATAACATAATTAATAAAAGATTTGCAAACTGCATAACGTGGAGGAGGCTCCTACCTTCATCACTTTTGCTTCGATATTTAACAAATTCATGAGCAATGTTCTCATTTCGACTGTCAGTTTTTTCATCCAATCGCCTTTACTTTTCGGTGATAGACAGCAGGTTACCTTTGCAAATTGATGTTTAGAATGTACCAGATCTGTTGCATATTCTAACAACATGGATGACCGTTTTTCACACTTACCGACTCTTTCGGCATTGCCAATGCCTTTTTCTTTTGCCTACCAGTGTAATCTCGATTAGGTCGACAAGCTGAACAAAATAAACTTTTCAAAGCAGCAGTTTTCAAATATGTATCCAGACCTTACTACTACATATTCAGTTATTATTTATAAGACTGTTATAAATTAATTTAAATTTTGAATCTACTTATTTCTAGAATTCAATGAGGCAAATGTTGTTGGCTGGCCCTTCGATTTTTGCTTTGACAGATGAGCGATGTGGTCAGCCCACAACATAAATGACAAATTTGTTTTTCACCATGTTTCTTATTTACTGGCAGGGGCAATAAGTAAAGCATCAAATGAATCTTACCTTCTGGTTTCATCCCAGCCTCCAAACATTTTTGAAAACGGCAGCTACGGCACTGAGTTCTCATATCTGGAAAAAGCATGGACTAATTGAGACAAGTTTCTTTCCTCGAAACCAAACCGGAATCCCAAAATCGCTTATCTGAAATGCACTTATTCACTTCTGAAATGCACTTATTCACTAGTCGATGAGCATTTCCTGCTATTTGGTACGAACAACCCTGTTTGGATGCATTTTCCTTCAAGCCACTTACGGCAGTGACCTTTGTGCTTCTCTATCTATTTCAGCTTCAGTTCAGAGTTTCATGGAAACTATATGTTCAGGTCAATCAGTAGAATAGCTGTTTTCTTGGCACGCAAAACTATTTTAAGCTTCAAATTCATCACTGCTTTTCCCTAAAGAAGAATAAGAATCAAGTATTCTCGCTGTGGTCAGTCCTGTCATAATATGCGCCTCGCACATGGTTTCCGTTTAGAACTGTAATAACGTTTCGAATGAGTATGCGGCCCATACAATAAATTGCGGTGGCCAGCATTTACAAAATTATCTGATCCGTTCGGACAAAGATATGAGGCTATCGATGGGAACTTTCTAATTTTATGGCTATAAGAAGATCCACGCTCATATCAGTACAGGGTAATTTCTACGGGATGGTTGAATTCCGTAAATTTCTCAAGGGACGAGATGATGGGCGAGGGAGCCTTCTTAAAAAGGACCCTTTTCGAGACTATTAATCCTTTCTTCAAGTTCCTTATAAATTCTAAAAATTTACATTTTCGGTAAGGAGGATCATCGTGCTCGCGAAGCTCTTCACATACACTTTTCCAATGACTTCCTGTCGGGCAATTATGTCACCATTTAAGGGTTTACCACAAGCATTATGTGGACTCCCCGATGAAAGTACGCACGTTTTGTCTTTTTCAATAGGTGCACTCTTTCGCAAACATCTTATCTAGTTTCTCGGCAGAAATCGTCGAAACTAGTTTTGGGAGTGTTTTGAAATCACATAATTTCATGAACAAAAAAGTTTTTTAGTAGAGTTTACCACTGCAAATGAAATCACATCCACACTCTTACGTCTAGGAGAATTTCCATACTGTAAAATGATGGGAAGATTGCAGAAACTTGCAAAATCATCACATAACTTCGTTTTCTGAGACTTTATCTGTTCCATTTCTATTCGATTTGATAGTGGATATTTTAAATCTACTGCAAAAGCTCTACTCATAGTCCTTTATCCAAATGCTACAGCCTGCGGGGGAAGCCAAATCAGGTACTACCTGTCCCAATCCTGATCATTTTCGTAAAACCGATTGCTGGTTGTACATATTCGCCCTTCTAAGAGTGCTGAGTTAGTAAACATGAAAAGGTTTTGATCCCTCAGTGTGATTGTAGAAAAGAAAGTTGAGCAAGCTTAGTTCGTGGCCATACTCAGGAGTTAACCATTTGGGTGTAGTTACTGAATCGACTTTGTACAATCCCTTTATTGTTATCCTCTAGGTTGAACCAAATCCTATGAATAACTTTCAACAGTCCCACCTTTAGCTTTATATAATGGTGAAAAAATTGCAGAGTAGGAACATCAAAAATCAGTGAAACCATCCGATCCGATTGGGAAACGTACCAGCTCGTATCGGGCAGTTACCGTTTGCTTGACATTCGAGTTGATCGGCTTTCATAAGCGCCCGTCGAAAAAATCCTTTACATCCAACACATGCAATAGCACCGTAATGCATTGCAGCCTGAAATTATTCGAGTCTGCAAATATTGAATTGGTAACTTATGAAAGTCCTATAAATTTTATGAGTCTGCACTGAAGAAGCATAGATCCCTGAAGATTATGATGAAAAGCATAGACCGTCAGTTCGGGGACACCTTTGCCAAGTTAACTCCGTTTTTTCCTTGTACATACTTTAAAAGTCCTTAAAGTAGAGTAGAGTCTCTTAAATTTTCTGGTCTTCCTTCTTGAGGATGCGCCCCGCATGCGACCTACATTAAGTTTATTATTGGCGTGTTAGAATGCGCATAAGGCCTATACAAGGATTTGCACTAGTGAGCCGATGGGCGAATAACTGCCTTATTCTTCAAGTCGAGTCTGTTGACTATTATCCCGCGCGAATGATGGAAGGCTTTGCTGGCATCGGCGGTTATCGAAATGTGATTCGATCCCAGGCAACGCATGTGATAGTGCACGCCATTTGCCACTACACCACCATCTCCTTCACTGTTCTGAGCATATCTCATGAGAAATAGAGAAGAAATACGAAAAAGTCTCAGCTGAACATCAAAGACTTTTAACAGCCTCCTACCTTCTCGGCACCGCATACGCCGCATACTTCACCAGCGGAGGGGCCTTGGCCATCTTCATCATCGGAATCTGGAATGCTTCGTGTAGTAAACTATTCCGGTGACACTTCCCAATTTCTTGTCAACCGGTCTATGGTGAGCATTGCACGAAATAAGGCTATATCCAAACATTTCCTCAATTCTTTAGTTCACAGAATGGATTGCCCCAATGTTTTTCACTTTTGCATAGCTTCTCTAATGAACAAATGACCGTAATCAGGTGCTACTTTTCGAATTAGAATTTACTTCAAAGCCTCAAATTCTTGCTGAACGTTTTCAATCAGAAAATTATTGGTATAGTTAGAGATTCGTGATGCCTTTAAAAATATCAATATTCACAACTTCCAGCCGCTAGCGGAACTGTCAGTCAGAATGGATAGTTTAGGGTGATGTCATGGCAAAGGATATCACCTTAGGTACGTCTTAGGGGCAATAAGACCCGATCACCGATTTTTCCTTTATTCGAACGAGACTGCACGGGATAGAAAAACACATATATTTCAATAACAATGAATACTTGCCAATAACTATTGTCCTCGTGTCTTCGGCACTCGATGTGCCACCACAATTGGGTGAAACTTCTCGAAGACTTTGCACTTGCGCCAGATCTACAAAATTCAGTATGGGGACAAAAGAGCTACGGTATCTAAAATTGCTCGCAACAAAACAACGAACAGTAAAGTAGTTAACCGCCATCGGAGAGACGAAAATGCAGCATTTCCTTCAAGGACATAGGAATACATAGAAATCGATGAAAACAGTAACAGTAATATAGGAAAAGGTTTGATAACAACTGGAAAACGACTGCAACAATCCCACGTAGGACTCGAACAAATGACTGATTCAAGGGCTAATTTTCATCATTATGCACCTAGGCATCGAACATGCGAGTACCTTGAACCAGACCATCGATGCCTCATCCAGTTTTTTGCTGATGGCGAGGAAACACGTTCGCTTGCCACACCATCATCATCGTGGCAACACAGTTCTTTCAACGTAATTCAGGAGACTCGTAGTGTAAACAGATCGATAAGTTGAAATGGGGCGGTTTGTACTGAGCATGTGATGAAAAAGTGTCATACATATTCGAAAGGCAGATTAATATTTGGCATGGCACAGGGTTCATGGTTAACATTTTCTGATTTCAATCAAAACATAGAAATTCAGATATCATTTGAAGCTCAACCACTTGGGCAGATAGATATTTCAAGAAAGCGAATAGATAGAAAGCGTCAAGCTCAGTACGGAGATGAAAGAGCTCATATTTTTGCTAAGACTGCTTTAAATAGGACCTCGAAATATGATCGCTGAATTTCCTTCACTTAACTAAATACAGTACTTCTTCAGTCACCAGTGAGTTTCCTCGTTAATGAAAGCAGGAAGGCAGCAGTACACGGACTGTTTTTGGTTAAGTGAAAGGAGGTTCAGCGGATAACAAAGTACGGCACAAATATTACATATTTGAAGACATGAGTCAAAAGAGAAAAAAAAACACAGCGAAGAAGTGAAAAAACAAGTTCAGGCGAGGTGATACTGACAGAATACTGTTCTCAGGAAAAATCAGATGGGGCATAGAAACATCAAAGTGTGTTCACCAAAAAAGGAATGGTCGAACCCATGACAGTTGCTTACAAAGAAGGTAGGCACTAACAGAGATCTGGGGCAAGTAGGCGGCTATGCCCTCCATTTTTTCTCTGAATTCAGGAATGTCAATGAGAAAATGGTGAGCCATCGCTACCGTACGAACCACTTTATTACATAATTGATATTGATTTCATTTGAAATCAACTACGAAATGAGACTGGGGACTAATCTCCTTATTCGACGATGTGACGCGTAAATGCGAACCTTCCTTGGCGGCAAAAGTCGGGAAAACCTTAAGCCTTCATACCATGACGTATGACGGAATACTATCCTGATTAAGTCGGCACAAAGAGCGTGCTCTTAAGCTGTCGAGCATACATATCATGGCGTGGGCCACCGAAGGTGTTCCGTGCGAAACATTAAAATATCAGAAAGAAGAGAACCTTTGAGCTCACTAGGTAGAGCAATGATGAAGTAGCTAAGATTTCAAAATGTAAGTAAGTATCTCGGAAGGGTTGCTTATTGCACGTTTGTCTCAGGTGACCTTAAGGACCTTAAAAATCAAGAAAAGATGGAAAAATCTCATATTTAACCTCTCACAACAGACAGATCACTGACTTTAGCTTTTAAAAAATGCATCAAAGAAATAAAAATTGATTAAGAATACACGAGATATTCACACCGATTTGGACGGATTATAAAATAAGGCTTCATAGGTGGTCTTGAAACCAGATAGGGCTAAAACCAAGCTCATTTTATTCTTTAAGAATATCAAATTCCTTTGCACACAGAAATCAATCATGTAAAAATTTTCGCCGGCTTCTTCCTAAAATTTCCAGATCCTCCTTGTGTTTGATTTTTCTATTGATGATGCCCTCTAGGGTGGCGTAGTGGCTTGTGGCGCACTGGCGTACATATCGCTGTCTAGGTTCGATTCTTGAATGGATACTCGCTTAAGCCAGTTAAGCCTTCCAAACCTCCAGAGTCGTTGAAGTGGTACTAGACTCGTTTGGGAGGGAAAAAACACCCTGACTTGTACATTGGCTGGTCACCTCAAACTATTGTGTAAGCCACATATGAACACATTCAAGCGGCTACTGCGATTCTAATTGAAGGGCGGGGGCATCCCACAAACAGAATCCGTAAGAGACTTTATTCTTTATGCTATATTGTTGTTTACAGAAATCAACCTTGCCTTTGAGCAACCCTTCATCTATAATAAAATACTTTATATTTAATTATTGGATAACATAATAAAAAAATGAATTCTAAACGAATTTTGAATTTTACAATAAATTATACGTGTCGATCTAGAATGATAAAATTCTCCAATTGTCAATTAAATTAGATGCTATAAGTGGAATTTTAAAAACTTTGTGTTATAGTTTTCCTTTAGTAGGAGTGTTTTATGGGCAATGTTCAGAAATTTGTGAAAAACATCTTTTATACCAAAAAAAAATTTTTTCTGCCGGCAACTGGGAATGATATATCTGTCCAGAATCCTATGCTTAAAGATTTACCTGGTGTAGTGGAATGAGAAGTGGAAAAATAAGAAGGAAAGGACAAATGGAATGAGTCAATCGCTCTCTTGATCACTTAGATAGCGGCAATCGCTCTGAGAAGAAATGACCTTACAGTGTGAGCCTACAAAATTCGGTTAAGTTAAATTTTAGAGAAGCTGAAGAAGGATTGCAAGAATAAAAAACAATGGGAGAAGAATTGAATGAAGAATTGGTTTTAAAAAACTCTGCTGCATCAGTAGTGAACATCTTGAAAAGAGAAGTCTCGCTTGTATCCTGCTCAATCGATTTTCAAAATAATAATGATAATAATAATAATAATAATAATAATAATAATAATAATAATAGTAATAGTAATAATAATTTTTCCTTACAATTATGGAGACTACAAGAACTCATTTTATAGCTCTTAACTGT